TTCAAGTCATATTCAACAAGGACGCTCGCTCTGGGGGACGTAGCGTCCGGCTTATCAAATGCAGGGACGAGACCGAGGCCGTAGAAGGCAAAAGATATACAGCCCTTAGTTACTCGTACGAAGATGCAGAGGCCATTTTCCAGGAATGGTACCCCGATATACCGAGGGATGCCAAACCGGAGCGCAATCAATATTGCCCTCATGTGTTGGAAATAATGAAGAAAGACCCAATGATGACGGCATGGAATCAAGTATCCTCAGATCCAAAGAAGCAAGAAGAATGGAACAGGATTGCACTTCGTCAACGGAATGCTGGAGCCTTTCTCGATTGTTACCTCGATACGCGATATCGCCAATGGCTCGAAGAAGGTGCTGAGGATGGTGTCGAATATATTTGGCTGGACGAATTCTGTCTGTACGATCCAGAAAATCCAAGTCTCGAAACCAGAAATGAAGAACTCGGTCGCATGGCAGATATTTTCCGCTTCGCTGAAGCTGTATGCGTCTACTGCCCTATTATCAACTGCAAGCACGTTAGCAAGCGTCCCAACAGAGACTGTCAGTATTGTGGCGCCAATGGTCGACTCTGCCAGAGATGCAACAAGAACGGATGCCACTGGGGTTCCCGCCTCTGGACCCTGTCCGAAATTGTCCATGCAAATAAAGTCGTATCCATGACGAGGGTGCAAGGTCAACATTCCGACCCTTTCTATAACAATTGGGAATACTCATTGACCAAGATGGACGGTCGTGATTTTAGGGCACAAATGCAACGTCAAGCAGAACTCGACGGCCAGTGGCATCTTCACGCCATTATGAGGCATGCCAATAATTCGGGTTCGAGTACATGGCAGCAAGCAATACACTCCCTGGTCGTCGAAGCTATTTTACGCAATCAAGCGGGTCGCTTCAATAATAAGTACCTTGCAAAAGCTCTCAATGGGTTATTGCCCCGACGTGCGATGCCCAAGCATCTATTGGGAAAGGACGGTTGGGCAGACCTTGCTTGGCTCTTGGAACTCAACCAAGGCTTCTACAATGCTGCGGGGCTCGCTGCAGTATGTGGATTGGGAGAGACAACGACCCAGGGTAAAGGATGGCTAGGGCCGCCACTTGCACCTGCCCCCGGGAATGAGCGTATCGAGCCGGTAGTGATCGCCTTTCCTATTCCCTCTGGTCTCTTCATAACCAATCCGAGGATTGTTGGCTTGAATAATGATATCGAAAGGGATATCGGTGGCATGTATCGTACAAAGAAGCTTCTCCCATTCCAGGTATGCTCTCCTACAGGTCCCTCGCTATGACTCATTAGTAACGAAATATTTCAGGTGTTGACTTTAATCATCCCATGGTTTTTTATCCTTGTGGCATTCAGTCCCCCTCTCAAATTCAATCTACTTGTCGGCGTAGCCTGGTTGCTCTTTGGGGTTTCTGCTCTATTAAACCTCATAGGGAGCTCAATTTTCCTCAAGAAATCGGGCTTTGTCTTACTTCGCAATGAAAGATGGGACGATAAAAAGGGGTATACTGCTCAAGAATACTTGGGGGAACGAGACAGTCGCCTAGAACGCCTTGAGAGTTGGGGTTACAATCAGCTTGCGCCAGAATGGGCATACGATTTCAGCAACTGGACGAAAAGTGAAAGGGACAGCATGAAAAGGTCTACCCTTGTCGACCTCAACCTCGGTATTATGGCAGATTGTTACATTAGGGACTGGGAAGATAAACCTCCTAACGCCCTGATCCCCCTAGCAGTTCACGGATGTGGGGTGACATGCCTAATCTTGCATCACCATGACGATCGAACCAAGGCAGCTGTAAAGCTCGGTATCGTCAATTTGGCACCATATCTTTTGAACCAAGGGGTAGCATTAGCCGCCTTAGAAGTAGGCGCAGTCGAAGAAAAGCCTCGACCAGTTAGCTTCGGAGAGTTTTGGAAGAACCTCTGAGACATCGTATTTGATGAATTTAGTGTGGATACTTCGTTTCAGGCCACTAAATCACCACGTTCTTTATTATCTTCATCCAAGCTTGGTCCTCCGTCACGCGTATTTTAATGGGCGTTGTTCGTTGCCCATACTTCCTGTCTTTACTCCTTCATAACCGCTCGTACGCTTACGTTATGTATACTCTCTTCATTGTGTTTCACTTTTGGACTCACTCGCTTTAGAGACTTGACAATAATTCAGGTCTGTCTACTTGCCTGTCTTTACAGTTCGAATTCTTCTATACATGTATCTTCTCTATTAAAGCTAATAATACTACATGGAAAGGAATGTTCGACGTGTTCGTTCGCAATCAAGGTCGGTTGAGAGTGGCGGAGGTGAGCTCCACCGTCCTGGTCAGTGCTTTCATAAGCTTCATGCGATCTCCTTTCTTCCACGTGATATTATTGGTGAGATCCGGAATAAATAACTCGATGAGCTTCACGTCCTCTGCCGTTACCGTGCCTCCTTGGCCGACTTCCTTTACTCGCTCACAGGCTGAGCATGGTTGATTATTATGAGAAGAGATTAAACCAGGATCACCATTTTTTTCGGAGTTTGTATTTGTAGTGTCAATTTCGTTTCGACTTTCTTCCCCGAGCTGACCTCTGGCCGGATCCAAAGCATTTGCAGTCTTCGATCGATCGCCCAGGAAAAGACCTTGAGACTTGTAGTATACATAAGCATGTTGATTCACATACAGATGAGAAGAAATAAACTCCACTTACTGGTCGAACGAGCTTGACGCGACGCATATTCTCATCTTCTTCGACCTCCTTCAAATGGCGCTTCGCTTCTTCGAGTTTTTCTTCAGCTCTTCGTCTTCTTTCTGCGAGTAGTTCTTCGAGTCTGAGCTGGAGCTCGTTCTCCTTAGCGAAAACCGACTGAATTTCCATGAATACGTCTTCCAATTCATTGAGCGCGGTTGCCTCGTAGAGCTCCATTTTTTTGGCTAATAAATGTTTGAATTCGACGGTAATGATTCGGCTGACGGCGCTTAGGAAGGATGAAGTGAAGCGGAATCAAAGTCGAGAGTGGGTCGGCTCCAAGTGTATAAGACAGACTCTGGTAAGGATGGTAGACAAACTTGGTACCACAGAGCTTCCAAAGTTGGGAGCGCTTCCATTAGAAATAAAGGGATATTTATACAGACATGGTGGAGAACGTTACCCAAAATGATCCTACCGGTACAGTGCTTATAAGTCTACCTTTCATTCCCAGTCGCTATCCTCTTCTTCTTCGTTCTCCTCCTCCTCCTCTTCTTCATCTTCATCTTCGTCTTCGTCTTC